ATATCATAAGTGTATATTGACTACTATATGAGTTAATATTCTGGGAGTTTAAAAACTATGGTCATACAAGTAATGACTCCATAGCATCCTATTATGCTGATGGACAGTGGCTGCAATGGGGTGTGGGGGGGACTTGATAATATGGGTGATGTTGAAACCACAATGTTGTTCATGTGAAACCTTCATAAGATTGTATATCAATAATACCTTAATGAAAAAAATAACTATGGTCATATGATTCCTGTTGAAACACTACTTGCTACAACAGACATGACCGCACTCTCTATCTGGGGCTATGCTTTAATTGTTTATATATAGTCATAAGATTTTGATGACTATCTCTGAAAGAAAATATGTCAGAAGAAGACAGAAACTGGCCCGTGTATATATATATATATATACACTTATCTTTTCATTCCCTTGATAATGTGTATATATATATATATATATATATAGTATAAAAGGGAGCAGAACTGGGTAAAAGTTATTGGTAAATAAAGGAAAAAGATTCAGAAAGGGCAAAGAGGGAGGGAGAAAGAAACTCCTTAAGGTGCACGGAGAAGAGAAAGTGAGTTAGGACAATAAACAAGGCTTCGTGCTAACTGTGAGGAAGAGAGAGAGAGAGGAGGCCCAGGAGGGGCCACAATACTGGGAATGTAAACGCAGCCACCACAGAGGAAAAGGGTAAGATTCAGCAGGGCTGTTGGCGCCCCAGTTGCTGTAAGTGTTGGCAGCGGCCTGGGATTTGCCCTCAGCAGAGAGCCGCCTCCCCCCCGGAAATGACCAGGAGATCATGCCCTCCCAGAGGGGTAACTTGCAGCCAGGACCCACTGGCAAGTCCTCGAGGCCAGCCCTCTCTGTCATTCATGCTCTAGAGCAATGACATCCAACAGAAACAGAATGAGAGCCACACACAGTAGCCATATTTTAAAAAGTAACAGAATAAAGCATCCAGAAATAGACCCACACAGAGCCAGCCAACTGATTTTTGGTAGAGGTACAAGGCAACTCGACAGATAAAGGGCAGTCTTTTTAATCAACACCAGGCCATTCACACACAATAAAGGAAATGAACCTCAGTTTAAACCTCACATCTTATACAAAGACTGGTGCCAAATGAAACATGGATCTAAATGTAAATCACAACTATAAAACTTTTCGAAGAATCATAGAACATCTTTGTGACTGAAGTTAGCAAAGAATTCTTGGATATGACACCTAAAACACAATCTACACAAGAAAAAAGAAACTGATAAATTGGACTTTATCAAAATTAAAAACTTGCTCTGTGAAAACATTATCAAGGGAATGAAAAGATAAGGCACAAAACTTGGAGGAAATATTTGCTATGCACATATCTGACAAAGAAATATATAAGGAACTCTCAAAGAATAGTAAGAAAATATAACTCAATTTAAAAATGAACAAAGTACTTGAACAAACACTTCACCAGACAAGTTATAGGGATGGTGAGAAGTGCATTGAAAAGTGCTCACATCGTTAGCCAATAGGGAAAAACCAATTAAAACAGCAATGAGATATCATTACACGTTATTAGAATATGAAGAGACAAGTGGTGGTGAGGATGCAGAGCGTGGAGCTCTCCCACACCGCCGCTGAGAACGTCACACGGGGCAGCTGCTCCGGAGAGCTCTCTCCCAAAGTCAACCATATGCTTACCATACGACCCAGTGATTCCACATCTGGTGTTCGCCCAAGAGAAAAGAAAGCATGTCCACCCAACAACATGCACACAGATGTGCATAGCAGCTGTCGTCGTAAGAGTCAAACCTTAGAAATCATGAGCATTCTCACCTCAGCTTCTGTTTCTATGGCACCTGATTTTCCATGTAATAAGGAGCAATGATTAGAGAATAATAGATAAACAACTGAGAAAATGAACACTAAAAACTATAAACAGAGCAATAAAAGATGAAGACAGGATTGCAAAGAAGATCAAATTTATATTTCGGTTGTCTCTTAGACACAAAGATACTTAAAGTAAAGTAAAGATGCTTTAAAGGGATGAAAACATAATAGGATTATTTTAAATAAATGGCTTGTCTGTGTGCCCTCTGGAGAACAGCTTGGCAGTGCCTTTCAAAACTAAAAATGTTCTTACAACACAACTCAAGAATTGCAATCTTGGACATTTATCCCACAGAAATGAAGACTTATTTTCACACAGGAACTTATATATGAATGTTCATAGCCGACTTATTTGTAACAGACAAAAATTGGAAACCACCCAAGTATCCTTTAATGGGTGAATGATTAAACAAACTGTGGTACATCCATACCATGCAAAACCACTCAGGAATAAAAAGGAACATTCTCTGGATGAATCTCCAGGGAATTAGGCTGGATGAGATAACCAATCCCAAAAGGTTATTTACTGCATGATTCCGTGTATACAGTCTTCTTGAAATGACAGAATTATAGACATAGAGAACAGATTAGTCATTGCCAGGGGTTGGGACTGGGGGAGAGGATAGGTGTGGCTATACAGGGGTGACACGAGGGAGCCTGTGGTGACCCTATAGTTAAATATCTTGATTGTGATGCTGGTTATACAAAGCCACCTATGTGGTAAAACTGTTCAGGAGATGCACACACACCAGGCGAGCCAACCTAACAGTGAACTGGGGTAAGTCTGTAGGTTGTACCAATGGCAGTTTCTCAGTGTAGATATTGTTCTATGGTTCTATCAAATGGTGACACTGGGGGAAGGGTGTACAGGACTTCCTCAGACATTTCTTTGCAACTTCCTGTGAAGCTATAATTATTTCAAGTTAAAAAGTTATAAAAATTTAAATAAAAGGCTTTTTTGAACATGTTCATACATTCATCATTTTAAGCCTACCTTCAGGTATCCTACAGACATGACTCCCTCAGGTGTTCCTTTTTCTATTAATTCAAATTTGGTGCATTCAAAATTCAAGAAGGTGACACTGCTGTAGGAAGAGGACATTCACATGCATTTTAAAGAAGTTTACAAGCCTGACAAATACCTTGCATATTCTAATGCCACATATTTTTTTCAAACAACAAATGATACTCACGACAGCAGTGATGATGAGATGACTCTTTACTTGAATTCTGCGTTTTATATAAAAGCAATTGGTGGTACAAAACTGACAGCTAGCATAGGAAGACCCAGTTAAGTGGTTGGAGTTACCTTTTTAAGTCTTTTATGCAGAACCTGCTTTCACTTCTATTAAATCCACTCATTTTAATTGCTAGAATTGCATCTACAAAGACTCTTATTTCCAGAGCAGGTCACAGTCACACGTATGGGGGTGACGGCTTGGACAAGTTCTTTCGGGGGACGCCATAAACCTACTACACAAGCTGAATGACCTGCAGGCCCAATCCAGCTGAGGCCACCAGTTTGTATTATCTGTTTGATGGCAAAATAAATTTTAAATTCGTGAAAATATTTTAAAAATAAAAAAGTGGTGGAAAAATATTACAGTAAATGCACATGTAAGAGGTGAGGAAAGACTTCATAGGCAAAACTCCAAATGCAAAGTTTACACAGAGAAAAGATGGAAAAATTTGATGGATTTAACCAAAAAAAATATAAATATTTCTCTACATTTAAAAAAAAGTTAATAAAAATACAGGTCAGTAATAACAATGTTAGAGAAAGCTAGAAGAGTCTATATAGACACGATTAGACTTTCTTTTTATTGATGTATAATCCTCTAAAGAAAAATTAGCATTATCAATGCACAGCGAATATAAAGCTTTTTCCTCCCCATTAAATTAATCAACATTAAAATCAAACCAACAAACAATTCATTCCCAGGGATGACAACTGAATGGGGAGATGGGTGCCACCAGACATTGCCAGTGATGTGGTCAATTAGCCAAGGTTTCTGGAGTCCATTTGCCATCTAGTATCAAAAGTCTTAAAAATGGTCATCCTCTCTGATCAACAAAATTTTTCTTCTAGAAATAAAGCCCAAGTAAATAAATCAGGAAGGAAGAAAAGTGTTTGAACAAGGCTAGTCGTCGCAGCACTGTTTACAGATGCAAATTCTTGGCAACAGCCTAAATGACAAACGGATCTGGTTCCCTGGGAAATAGACTCTGACACAGAGCTTGTTGGGTATTGATTTGGGGTTTGCTCTCAGGAATGAGTTAGGAAGGAAGGGTGGGAGGAGGGTAGAGGGAAGAGAGAGGGTGCATTGTGTCACACTGGCTGGGAAACCCCAGCTGATGTCCCACAAGGAGCTCTCAGCTAGGATGGCCCTTCAGGGTGGGTCTGAGGGCTGGGACTAGGCGTCTCTATCAGGCACTGGGGCTGTGGCCCCCAGAAGGCGATACAGCGTGGGGGAGGCAGCGTTTAGGCTAAGGGCAGCCCTGAGACTCTGCGTGAGCTCTCAGCACGCAAAGGACCCTGTCCTTCAAAAAATCTTTACGGGTGCGTCCGATGCCCCTGACAGTGTACCTACTGACACACATACGGTAAGGCATGCTTTCCTTTTTTTTTTTCAGCTTTATAAGGATATAATTGACAAAAGCTAAATATATTTAAGCTGTACAACATAATGGTTTAATATGTGTACACATTGTGCAATTAGTACCACAATTCAGTCTATTAACACGTCCATCATTTCACAGTTACCATTCTTTTTCTGTGTGTGGTGAGAACACGGAAGATCTACTCTCGTAGCAAATTTCACCATGCTGTATGTTGGAACCCCAGAACTTATTCATCTTATAACTGAAAGTTCATAGTAAGTCACACTCTCAACATTCCTAAGTAAGATTAGGTTAAACATATTTTCCCAGGATCTCTGTTACTTATGTGGAAAAGGCTTGCAGCAAAGTTTTCAGTGATAATAGCAGGTGATCAACAGCTATTTATTTATTGAGAACCTACTGTATGCTAGATGCTAGTTTAAGAATTAGAATAGAGCAGATAATAAGATAAGGAAGACAGTCACCCAAGGTGACAGCATTCTAGTAAGAGGCACTGATTGTAAACATGATGACATTTTTGTTATTTAATAATAAAAGGATATACACAGAAAAGCTTACATGTATGTATATATATATATATACACACACACAGATATACCAGATTTATAACTTCTATAAAAATTGGAGGGAATAACACTAAATGCTTCCCTGAGTTGGTGAGATTCATGGATTAGGTCTGTATTTTCATCGGTGACTTTTGAAACAAATAATGGAGCATGAATTAATGCTTTTAAAGAGGAGAAATATTCTATTTAAATCCCCTTTTTCCATTGGAGGAAACAACAGTTCTAATATTTACTCCAACTATAACTCAAAGTCCTAGCATCACTAGAAATGATAGAATTATTGGCCCACCAAGCTCACACACCTTAGGGACAGATCCTACTGACCAGTTTTAACTCATACAAAGTCACCGCTCGCAGACTGGCATAACCACAAGCAGGTGACCCCAGGGAACGGGCAAACCTTTCTTCTGAAGAGCAGAAGGCATTTGCAATAATGACTGTGTATTTGCCCGGGGTCCACAAAAAGCTGTGAGATTACCTTGAGCGGAGGCTTTCGATTTAGAGGCAGGTCTGTGCCTGCTGTTCCTAAGAGAAAAGGAATGCTACTTTGGCAAGGATTATGGGGATAAGGGATGCTAACTGTGAGCAGCAGAAAAATCAATTAAGAGAACCACATAAGAGAAGTGAAGACTGCATACGGTAAAGACGAGGCAGTAATGAGAAATACGTAAACTGAAAGTATATGGTAAATAGGCCAATTAGTGGACCATCTTCTTAGGTTGGCCAAACAATCAATTCATCATGAAGGATCTGAGAATGAGTCAAAGGATAGTTTCATTCCACTCTTCTGTACCCAGATGCGCAAACTGAAACGAGAATAATGACAAAGAAAGAAAAGCAGCAAAAGCGGCAGATACTTCCCCGGAATACTGTGTGCATGTTGTCAAACTCACAGAATAATGCAATAAACAGTTTGACTTCTTCCAAAAATTGGACAGATTATTTGTGCTGATGCAGATCCCGATGTAATAAGTACAATAAAAAATTACAAAACTGGGAATAACTGGTTCACATTCATGGATCGTGCATCATACAAATACGTCACTAATAGAACCTAAGTTTCTCAGTAAAATAATGTCCAATTTCCTTTTGCATTTGCAATGAAATCCTCATTATATATATTAGGAAACTTCACAGACCTTCATTCTCTTTTTAGTACACCTGAAAATAATTTTATATTTCCTGTGAATTTCTACCTACTAGAATGAAACAAATCATTTGTTTCTTGAAGCATGAGAGATGACAATTGTTAACAAAAAAGGAAAGACAAAATTTTTTTGACCAATGCACTTGGGTTTTGGAAGGCATTCATAAAGGTTAAAAAAGGATGATACAAGAAATTGTTGCATGATTATCAATTTACATGGGTTACTGTACTTGTGTCCAGAGGATTCAAAGACAAATAAAATATATTCTCTATGGAAGCATATACATTAGTGAGGCAGACAGACAAGTAAAAAAATAGATCATTTTGATATAATGTAAAAGTGCTATGATAGAGGTGTCAATCGAATTGTAATTTTCAGATGAGAGTTTTTTAATTCCACACATACCATCTTTCTAATCAAGTAAGAAACAACAGATATATATTAGATATTTTAAAATACCTGTGGTGGGCAGAATAAGGGCCCCCCATATATGTCCCTGTCCTTATCCCTGAACCTTGTGAATATGTTAGGATGTAAGGCAAAGCAGAACTAAGTTTGCAGATGAATTAAAGATGCTAATCAACTGACCTTAAAATAGCGAGGCTGGATTACCCTGCTGGGCCCGATGTAATCATTCCTAAAATCCTTAAAAATGGAAGTGGAAGACAGAGGAAGGGGTGATGTGGCCGTGGAGGAAGGACCAAAGAGATGCAGTGTTGCAAGCTGTGGTAATGGAGGCAGGCACCAAGGAATGCAGGCGGTCTCCGGGTGCTGGAGAGGACGTAGAGACAGATCACGCCGGGGCCCCTCGGGAACAAGCAAGCCTTCACCTCAACCTGCCCCCGGAGACTGCACCAGACTCCTGTCCTCCAGAACTGTAGGGGAGAGACCTGTGTTGGGTTAAAATGCAAAGTCTGTATTAACCTATTACAGAGCAGCAGGAAACTAAAACACTCCCCAAACGTAATGAGACATAGAGCATCCTACGTAGGATCTAAAGAATACAACATTTTCAGGAGTTACACTGTCCGAGGCCATGATCTATTCTACAAAGTTATCTTCTCCTTTTTCACTGTGAACTCCTGGAAGAGGCATTGAGGGGCATCACGGGACAGGGAAGAAGAAATCCCAGGGCCAGGCTCTGGGATGGGTGGTGTCATGAACAGTCTCTCCACAGATCCTCTCGAAAAGTTCTAGAAGGGTGGTATTCTTGCACATCTGCAGATAAGGAGCTTGAGACTGTGTGCTAAAGGCAAACTGCTACTGCGCGTCTCTCAGACTGCAAACCCACGCTCAGTCACCGCCTCCCACTCATGCACTGACACCCTAGGCTTCCCGGACTGCCCTAGGGACCCAGGAAGGAGGGCATCATGCCCAAAGACCCGCAGGCCCTTTTCTACACAGACCGAAAGAAACTGTGTCCTGCTTTAATACCTGATCAATTCTAAGAGTCACCTTTTTTCTTTCATTTTTAATGTGTCTGAAATTGCAATGCGTCTGGTATTCATAAAGCCTTGCAATTACATTTGGTAGCATTTTTTCTTTCTCTGTGATACAATGATTGATGTGTTCAGTTAGAATGGAGGTTTGGACAGTCCATGAGTGAGCACTGCATACTCCCCCAAGCTCTGCCCTGGACTGTAAGTCCCGGAGACAGCCACCCCCACCCTCCTCAGGAATGCATGCCCATGGTAATCATTTGCAGTGTCAGGAAACATGTGGTAAACCTAAGTCCCTTGTACTACAGCTGAAGTTCCTGTGCTGCTGAGAAAGGGAATGGTCATCATTTGTTTCTTCTGAGCACACGCACTGCACTGAGCAGGGGGCTAGGAACCTGGAAGGACACAGAACAAGTGCAGGATGGGGGCCTCGGCCCTCAAAAACCCACATGAGCTAAGTGGGAAGCCATGTCAGAGAGTGCATAATCAAGGACCCAACAGTAGAAACAACTACATATGGAGACATTATCAACAAAAAACAAACGTTTTTCATTTTGCTTTGTTTCTTATTTTGTTTTTGTTTTTTAATACAGCGTCATCATCAAGCTTGGTTCATCAAGCTCATTCAATGTTTATGTAAAAATATTTGGGGGCCTAAAGGTTCCACCTGATGCATAAGAAACCTAGTGTAGTGGGCTCTGTTGTGTCCCCTAAACGGCCTTGCTCCAAGTCCTAACCCCCAGCACCAGTGAATGGGACCTCCTCTGGAAATAAGGTCTTTGACCTTAGGGATGAGGTCAACTTGATTAGGGTGATCAGGGTGGGTCCTGCCCCAATGGCTGGTGTCTTTATAAGAAAAGGTCTGGGAAGCCTGGGTACAGAGACACAGGAGGCACAAAGAAGGCCATGTGAGGACAGAGGGGGAGAGTGCGGTGACAGCTCCACAGCCACGGAGCGCCAAGCACGCCAGGAGCCACCAGCGGCCGGAAGGGGCAAGGAAGCCTCCTTCCCTAGACGCGGCCTTACCAGCAGCCTGACTTCAGATTTCTGGACTCTTTAGTGGTAAGAATAAATGTCCATGGTTTTCAGCCACCAAGTTTATGGTACTTTGTGATGGTGGCTCTAGGAAAATGATACTTTTACATGTCAAACATTAAAGGAAGTTGTGGGAAAACCATTTAGTAGGACCTGAAACTTTTCAAAGGAAGATGGTTAAAATAAAACCCCACCCTTCCTGAGAGCATGAAAGGATGGAGGCTCTGAGACTGTCCAGAGTTTGAAGGGCTTCTCTGCAGGGATCTGAGGACATGTCCGAGCCCCGTCCTCTCCTAGTACAAGGACTTCCCCGGACTACTCAGAGTTTGACATCCAGCCCGCCTCTAGGGGACTCCAGTGCAAAGTCTCACTCCACTCCTGTAGGCAGAGAACACCCGTCAGGCTGGCCAGCTGCTTTGGGGATTGCAACGGACTCAATGGCTACATTCCCCTCAAATCATTCTGTTGAAATCTACCCTGCAGGGTGATGGAATTAGGAGGTGTACGAGGTGCAGGTATGTGGGAGGAAGTGCCTTCCCCGACCCTTTAAGTCCTCTTGAAAGGACCACCTTCTGCAACACAACTGCTATGAAACAGTCTGTACAGAAAAGACTGCCCGGGAGACGGTAGAGTCGGAGGAGGCACGTGCAGCTTGCAGATCATGCCAACAGAAAGCCAGCGAGAGGTGCCCAGCAGCGCCTGTCATACAGGACTGCCCTGCTACTGCTATCTGCAATGTACAACTAGACAAGTATCTGCTGAGAAGCAACACTGCATATTAAGGAAGTTTATAGAAAACAGTATTCTATACACGAGGAAGCAAAAAAGAGGTGGAATACAGGACTAGGGCCAAAGAGAGAAAGAGAAGTGATACAGATGTCAGCAGTTACGACAGACCATCTCTTGATGAATATGTGACAATGTTTTTCCTATAAATAACACAACTGGCTCAGGTGCCAAGATAAAATCCATGGGAGAAAAGGATTTAACCCTTAAACCTCTTTTTCTAAAAGCAAAACCCCTGATAAATTCTTGCCATGCCTTGACACACCCACTGAGGATAACTCATCAGTTAAATGAAAACAGTGGAGTTATCATCAGTTGGGAATTAGGCATGACCGGCACAGAATGGGCCGGTGTACTGACTACGATGGAATACTGGGAGAAACCAGACAAGGTGGTCCCAGCGTACTTACCGCTATGTGACCTAGAGATATAACAGCCCATTTATGCCTCCCTAGGCCATATCAGCCTGGCATTCATGGAGTTTCAGGAATAATAAGATTGCAGTTGGTCCCTCACCCTATCCCAATACCCTTGACATGAGTAGGTTCTGTTCTCTTCAAGACATTCAATGGGGTGTCCCATTGGCACACCCAAACATCTATAAGTTCAGTGGCATTTTTGTTGCTAAATATTTGTTGATCATTTAAAGTTGTCCAAACTCTGGAATTTCATAGGAATAGACATTTGGCTCCAGAGCTGCCTGGCTTGATACAAAGACCCTAATCACGCTGATTTCCAGGTGCAGAAAAATTCCCGGGACTGGGAAGATGCTACGGTAAACCACCCGAAGGCAATGCTGAGAAATGTGGAGTGTCAAAATGGGCCCCGAAGGTGAAGACGACGACTCTGCATCCTGTTTGGATAAAGTAACGAACACGGATCTCAGGAACTACACATGACTAAGTTTGAACTTAGAAATGAACTCCTAACAGAATTTTAAAACAGGTTACGCAACAGATACTCTGTGACAAGAAGGGAAGCAGAGATCATCAGAAGCCCATCCAAACTCAGGAAAAACAGATCAGCCAGTTCTCACCTTATTTCTCCTCGGGACTGAAAAGATAAAACAGGTAGAATCCTGAAGATGGTGAGCCGAGGAAGGCTTCATTTCAGGAGCGCACCTGGCAAGGTGCACTTATAGCTGCATGGACAGTCACCCAGAGTCAGGGGTGATGAGCCAGAGAGGTGATGCAGAGTTCTCTGTCCAAGCCCATCCACTCAATGTTTCAGTTTCTGCCTTAGATGAAGGTTCAGAGGTGGCCGGGTCAAATCTGCAAAGGAAATGAAAATGACCATTATACCAGAAAGCACCAGAACCAACATTATCTGGAGAGACTAAAGTGAGGGGCAAAAACAGCCATGGAAATGTATTACTGTCAATGTGTAGCAGCAGTAGTAGTAACAACAATAATAATATTATAAATAAAGATAAAGGAATAAAAGTAAATTTAAGATAAAAATAATCAATGGCACAAGGATAGGACTTGAAGAAAACTGGAAGTTTATACTTTCTTAAAGGTAAATTTAAAACTAACTGCATATGTAATATTTACCATTTCTATATTGTACCAGATGTTTTTTAGAGGAGAATTAGTAGTCTCGTTGTATTCTGTATTCCTAGAACACATTTTCTGTTGTAATCAGCTGTTCAAGAACATTACCAACTGTGATGATTCTGGAAGTACATAAACAGGATTGTAGAATATAGAAATTTATTGTCAGCAGGAACCAAGAAGATCATAATCCCAGCATGAACAAATTGAGAATACTGAGATCCTACAAGCCTGAGATAATACCAGCATTATACAGAAGCTTGCCTAGAACCTATTCCCCTAACGGATCACATAAAGAATATTTATAGGAATTAAGATTATTTAACCCAATAAAAGGGACACTTAATGGTCAGTGCTAATGGGGTCTTTCCACACAAGAAGAGCTGTTAAATGAACAGAGAAGGAGATTCATGATCAAGGGTTAGTTACAGCAGGGAGGTGGGTCAGGCCTTATACCAGTGAGGACTGTTAACATGGAGAATGGTTAGCCTTTCAATGAGCAGAACCCAGGGGCGCCGGGAGCGTCCAGAGGATGGATGGCCCCCGGCAGGGTGGTTGATTACAGCATTGCTGAATTAACCAATGAGCACCCACAACTTCAGGGGTTCAGGTTCTGCCCGTGCCCTGTCCAGTCCCTCCAGCTGTACTGCATCTTCCTCCTCTCTCCCTGCTCCCTGGAGGGGGGCCTGCTCTGCACCAGGGGCTGCTGGCCCAGGGCAGCTGTGTGGCACCTATCGTGGACCCAAGCTCCCCAGGACCCCGGCTCAGGAAGGCCAGGAGGGAAGACTCCGTCAGAAAGGGGACTTTGAAGGCAAGGAACAAGAAAAGAAAGCCAGTGGACCCAACACTGCAGGGTGAGCCAAGGATCTCTCAGGCTAGGGGGTAAGCAGACAGGCAGGCCATCACATAGCACATGTTAAGTCCTGTGGTGGGAAAAACACAGAATACTAGAGCAATACCCAGCATGCCCCTGTGCCCCCAGCCAATCTTGAGAATGAGGGAGAGTTAACCCAGAGCAGGTGAAAGCGGGGTTCAGAGTCTGGGTAGATACGCTCCAAGCAGAGGGGACACTGTCGATGAAGAAAGGGCAGGGGGGCCGATGTGCCCAGGAAAGCTGGAGGCGTGTGCATGCTGACATGGAGGAGCACATAACAGATCTGAAGTCTGGAGTTCATGCTGATGACACTGGGAATCCCTGAAAAGAGTTCAGAAAGATTTGAAAATAGACTCAAAGATTTATGCAACAGGAGATGGGTGTATAAAAATGATAAAGACAGAGTCCCTGACTCTACAAGGAGCTCATCACCTCCTGAAGAGACAGATATATAAACAAATCAGAACAGAACAATGTGTCTAGTTCTAAATTTAGCACTCACAGAGGGATGGGGACCCAGAGGAGGAAGTCATTAGCACTGCCTGGGAGAAGAAAGAAGGCTTTGTGTCAGTGACAGCTGAGTAAGATGACAGATGAGTGGGTGGCCAGCAGTCCTGGCACAGGGAGGTAGACCCTTCAGGCAGGATCAGGAATCCATTACCCAATATTAAATTAACCAAATGCTTGCCATTCTCTTTAACTTTCAAGCTCAGGAATTTGTCTCTTCCTTTTAGAGATAGTGAACATTGAATTGTAACTTAAGGTCTCTTCTCAAGGATTCTGAACGCTTGTTTACAGAGAACGGTATCTGATGAATTCCAGAAACAAAAGGAACTTTTCAGAAGTATCTGCAGTACCAGGGAACTCTGCACACTTTTAGAGGTTATATTCTCGGGAGCTTTGTGCCATAATCAAAATTAACATCAAGAGGGACTAGTGGGCCTCTACCTGGGTGGGCACATCTGTACCCATCCTGATACCCATTACAGATTTAGACTGAAACCAGGTGTCAAGTCATGGGATTAGAAAGAAAGAACCTTCTTTCTCTTTAGCAGCATCAGACTTGGCAAAGGATTCAAGAGGAAACAATGCTACACTGAACTGTGCCCTCACAGTCCAACAAGTGCACTGGTTAAGCACAGAAAATCATGGGACAGGTTCTCAGCTTCTCCACCACGTGGCTCAATGTTATTACACAGATGAGGTGAGGCTAAAAGGGTTTCCCTCTCTACTGACAGGGCAACCTCCCCTTTGCATAGGACAGCAGTAGGATTATGGTGGATTCAGTTACTAGATCAGCAGAGTTCTCAGCTCTGTGTGGTAGTAGGTGTGGAAATGTTGAAATAGGAACTATAGAAATGGATTGGAAAATAAAGGGATAAGTGGGAATTTATCAGGGAAATACAAACAGAAGATGTAGGGATAGCAATACTAGTAAGAGATAATACAGAATTTAATTTAAAAAGTCAGAGAATTATTTGGCAATGATAAAAAAATAGCTACAAGAAAGATATTAGAGACATAAATTTTTAGGTGCTAAGTTACATAGTAGCAAATACATATTACAAAAATCTTAATATGCACATGGATATTTTGGTAAAACCACAATCCCTGTAGAGCAAGGGTTCTCAACCACAGGCGATTTTGTCCCCCCGAGCCATCCAGGGACATCTGGGGCCATTTTTGGTCATCACACGTGTGTGGGGGAGTGTTGGGTGTAGAGGCCAGGGGGGCTGCTGGGCACCTGCAGTACCCAAGCCAGTCCCACAGCAAAGGGCTACCCGTGCAGAGAGCACAGAGGCCCAGGCACACGTTTTGGGGGTGCTGGGGCAGGCAAGTGGAGGGCGGGACTCTCAGGGCCATCCTGCCACACAGGCCTCTTCCTTTTCTGAATGCCAAGTTGACAGGATTCTAGCTCATCAAACCAAAAAACAGTAAATCTGCTCAAGTGCCTGAGGAACCTGCTTACGCATTCCTTCTGTCATCATGCCCTGAAGTTCTAGTTAATATTGTTGGAAAAAGATACTGCTGCAAAAAATAATAATAATAATATGATTAAAAATAAAAAATAACGTCAAAATCACCAAAGGGCAGCATACTAAATCTCACCACATGCAAATGCGATAGATTCTTGAAATTCAAGAGGAATGTATGGGATCTCCAAGAATCCCCAAATCTATAATCTATATGTATACAAAAATATTTGTCTAAGCTTCAGTTCCCTGACAGTATTTCAAGGACATATATTTTTTCTGTCTTGATGGACAATGTTCTCAAAAAAAAAAAAAGAAAAGAAAAGGAAAAACTGGAGCCATGCTGGTCAAGCTGTGGCGGGAGAACCAGTGAGCCATAGCGGGAGAACCATTCACAGCTCCGTGAAATGCCACACACTTTGCAGAAAAACACAATTCAGATGCCTGCCCCCCAGATACTAATCGCTTCTTGGCGGGTATGTCTCACTGACTTTCCAATAGTTGAAACCCCAAATATCAAATTTAAGAATTCCAAGGGTCTAATGTGCTTTGTTCCACAGGAGGCAAACGTTAAAAGCCGACTTAAAAGATGATCCCTTTAGCAAAGATCAGGACCCTGAGAGAATGACGGTGGAGGAAACAATCAGGAAGGTTCACCTGAGAAATAAGAGGAGGGCAGGTAGGAAAGACCCAGAAAGCACAGGCCTGTCCGGAAGTGAAGGCTCGGGACCGACCTGACAGGGGAGGAAGGCAAAGTGGAGCTGGAGAGCTGTGGATACAGATGGGTGTGGGGAAACGCCACGTACTGGGGTCGAACTGTGTCCTCCAAAATCTATGTTCAGCCCTAACCCCAGTGAATTTTCTCTTATTTGGAAACAAGATCCTGGCAGATGTCATCAAGTTAAGATGAAGTCATACTAGAGGAGAGTGGCCCTAAACCAATGACCGATGTCCTTATAAGAGGGAGATTTGGACACAGACATACAGAGAAGACCGTGTGACAAGAGAGGCAGAAACTGGAGCCAGGTGTCTACAAGCCGAGGGGTGCCGGCAGCCAGCGGAAACCAGGGGAAGGCACGGAACATGTCGTCCCCAGGGCTTCCAAACAGAACCAGCCCTGCCCACACTTTGATCTTGGACTTCTGGCCTCAGAACTTTGAGAGAATGACTTCTGTTGTTTTAAGGCCCCCACTCTGTCCTTTGTGGTAGCATTACTAACACCTATGGGGAAATCGATTCACCCCAAAGCTGCCCGGGTCTGCGGCCCCCTTATCCTCAGTGGAGTCTCCAGTATTCTCCAGTCACGCTCAAGGCTGCTCTTGCGCCGAAGCACTTCAGGATGCAGCCCGGACTAACTCATTTGACACGTATACGTACATTTCTACCACCAAAAGTAGTGACGGGGGTGGGGAACTAGAGTCACCTTAATCTCCGTGCTTCCATCAGACAGACCACATGCAAGACCGCTCCCCGAGGGTGCCTGAGGTGCCAGAGCGCCAGGGAAGAAGTCCCGCAGAAGACAAGCAAAGGGAAGTGGTCCAGCCCGCAGGCAGCAGGCTCTCCAGGCCCTGGGGTGCCTGCATGTCCCACACGCCGCCCCCACCTCTGGAAGACGATGGCTGTTGTCTGGGACACGGAGGGCCTTTGCAGTGGGAACCTTTTAAGAAACTCTCTGACAGGTGGACCTTGTGCCAGGCTTCCTCCTCTACTGGACACTCGCAGGCTGTGACTGGCGCGGTGGGAAGGCTCCTGGGAAGGAGAACGTCTCAGCGGCACTTGGCGTCTGTTGTTGCCGTGTATTTACGTGAGTCCTTCCAGATGGAAAGTCCGCAAGTCAGAAGGAGGAGGAGGGTGTGGATGCAAAAGTAAAC